TTGTCTTGTCAATATAAGAGCATTTAATGTTTTGTAAGGTTAGGAGAGTCAACTTGATAGTTAGGACTTGATGTCTTGGATCCAAAGGTCACCATTTCATTTTTAATACTATAAATACCCCCACCATGTAACACAAGAAGAAAAAAAATGAAACATCCTGACCATCGATCGACATTAACGTGTTGGATTAAGCTTACATGTATACGAGTAGACCCGACATCTATTGGCAACATTTTTTGGGGTCAACATATTCACTTATAAACAGAAAAATAAAAATTGTAACATGAAAACCTAAGAAACTCAGATTAATAAGTGGTGATTGTAACAAGTCTGGACTTCTTATTATATAGGTATTGGAAAGAGAGTAATATTCTAGTTCTAGTATTATAAATAAAAGAAATAATTCCTAAAAAGGAAAGAAAACAAATAACATAATCCTCATAGGAGTAGAAATCATATCCGCTAAGACTCCGTTTGGTAAGAATTTATAAAAGTTTTAATATTTATAAATAGATAAAATTGAATGATGAATAATTTAATATTGTTCATGAATCAATTGGAATGTGCGGTTGCAAATTGTGGGAGTTGAACCGGGTTCTATTGAGTTGCTCCCATAATTTGTGAAAACCGTAATAACCAAATGCAATTTTGTTAAGTTTACACTTTCAACGGGATTGCAACACGTGGACAAATATTGGCTGTTGGTTCGAATTCTGGAGAGTTCTATTATTATTGCCATTCTCGACTTTTGGCTTTAAGGTTTTCATTTTCTCTGTTTTTTGTGTGAGAACGCCGTTTTCTGAGGGTTTTCCTTGTGTACTGATCTTTTTGTAAATCTGTAATATTGTAACATCCTTTGTGATGATATTCTACCTAAATATCTGTTAGGAATTATATGTGCTTCTGGTTTGTTGTTTCTGAGGTTCTCAAGACGATCCTTTGTGGTTCGTGTAGATCAATTGCTGTATTTGTGAGAGATAAATGTTCTGTATCTTTTCTTTGTGATTGACTGAACATTATTGTAATCTTTGTGACCATTTTGGGCATTATAGTGGAACCGAGCATAATCCAACTTTTGGATGCTCAATGGGAGATGTAGGTGTTGGATATGGTCATCGAACCTTCGGAGCTTAGACCGAAACATATCGATTGCGTTTTCTTAATTTTCAGCACTTTATTTTCAGAAATAGCTTTGGTATTCTTGTTTTTTGATCTAATATCGTGTTTCCCTAGCCTAACAAAAATGAAGATTGACTGATTTATAAATTATTTATAAATGAAGGCTTAAAATAAAAATAATTGAATCATACAAGTGCTAAGGATCCTAATTATCATTAATAATTAAATCCTAACACTAGTAGCATGATTTCTAGTACTTGTTCTACGTCAATCTTCTTCGCTTGAAGAAAACTCTTCCCTGACTTCGGCAAAAAAAGAAAAAAAAAATATCATTTTAATCGGAAGGAAAGTAGTTAAAAATTTAAACCACATCGCATATTAAATAAATGTCCACCTCTTTCCGTATTCGACAAATATTGTTATCCTCTGCCGTTACGTTTTATGACATCGACTTTGCTCTTGTATTCCTCATTTTCTCTTTCTTAGGGATACTTGGTGTGTGACATTCCTTCACAAGGGATATATCCATGATTTAATTTCTCATACTTGTCTAGCCTCGGTAGATACATTAAGGCCTTATTTGATTCATCATATTTTCCATGGAACTTGAAAATTATTTTCCAAGTTCCAACTTTTGTCTTGTTTGATAGCCAAAATTTTCTTGGCAAAATATTTTCCTTCCAACCCCACATGTGACCCCTTTTCCATGTTTTAATTGAACTCTCGAACTCGCTTGACCAAAACTCTGAGCTCAGCATCGGTTTCTTGTTCAGTATCTTCAACATTCAGGAAAGCCCTCATCTGCTCTTATTAATCTTTGATGTATTGAACTTCTTGGAGACCTCGGAAAAGTCGACTCTCATCTTGGAGTAAGGTTGAAAGGTTGTTTAAAAGAACACTTACTGCACCTTGTGCCATTTTTTACTATAGTTTTTCTTGAGTATTCAGTGGAGATCTGTATGTAACAGGCTTTACAACAATTTATGGTCGAAGTATACTTGCAAGTTGCACAATATAAATTGATGGATCAGTCGATATGCTCACCAACCCCATCAAACAAATTTTATATATTTTTCTCTAATATTGTTTAATCACATCCAATCCATTGCCTTGAACATGCCATCATAGCACGAGATTGTTCTTGATCAAGTGGTTTTCTTGTCATGAAATACCACTTCAACCCAGTTTTAATTTTAACAAAGGTCGTACGAAAGACAAACCACTAAGGTTGACCTTAGGGGGTGCCCCTCCGTAGAGCAACGAAGTCACTAACCTAGGCCATGGGCATTCTTGATCGCCCATTGACCCGACCAGGTATATACATTCGATTTGCTTATGACATAGACATTATAATGTTCCACTACTAAACCTCACTCTTAGAACTTCGTTTTCATAAGCGATAATCATAAGATATCTTCTTGGATGTGACTGAAAATTAATTTGGAGATCTGTAAAACCTCTTCAAACTAGACGAAATATTGAAAAGTTTTAACCATTGAAATTTACTGAAACCATTTGAGGGGCTAATTCTGTTAATTTATAGAAGGTTGGGGATAAGATTGCGACGAAAAAAAGTTAAAGAAATGAATAGAAACTTTGAGCAAATATTGGGTCCTTAATTTGCAATTTACGATTTTCATACAAAGCAACCGGATTAGTTTCTCACCAATGAATGAACATATGATAAAAGTAATCTTAAAAAGTATTTTTTTTCAAACCCAATTATAAAAAATGGATCGAAAATTAATTTATTTATCTCAAATAAAATGGAGTTAAATGATAAGTTTTTAGATAACTATCGACTAGCAAATTCTTTATTTCATCCTTTTAAAAATTCTCTACTTCATCCCTCTTTAATTAGGAGCATCGACGTGCACCAAGCTGCCCTATGCAGACCTTCCTATGCCGGCAACGCCGCGACCCTGCTCAACCATTTTACATATCTAGACAGGGGCGGAGCCAGACTTTGAACGTAGGGGAGGCCTAGAGGTAGAGGTGAAGTGGTGGGGGCCCACGGGGGTTCGGGGGCAGCGCCCCAGAAATTTTTTTTTGATACATTGTTAACAAAAAAATGTATAAAAAAAAGTACTAATCATTAATTTAGCAAAATCATACTTTGATAACGTTATATAACTACATTATAATCGGGTGAAACTCGGGCAAAAAGTTACTGCATTGGTCGCTCGAGCGAGTCTCTAGCGAAAGTCGAGCGAGGGTTGAGCAGCCGTCAATATTTTCATCATAACTTTCTTTACCGATATTCAATTGTGATGATTCAAATTCCGTTGGAAAGCTAACTCGAAGGGCTACAATTCTTCTAGAAATAACCATATCCAAATTCCAATGTTTTCGATGTGAAAAATGAATTGAAAGTGGTAATTAAAAAAAAATTAAAAAAATTAAAAAAAAAATTTGGTCAAAAATGGGATGGGGGGCCAGGCACCCCCCAGGCCCCCCCTT